TCCCCCCTCCTCCCCCTTCCCCTCGCTCTCCTTTCAAAAGAAAAAGGGGAAAAATCTGCTTATTTCAGTTTATGAAGCAAAAGCTTTTACGAAATCGCCTGGCGGGTGTGGAACATGCGTCAACAGAAATCGACGAGGATGAGAAGAAACGAATTGTTCTCGGAACGGTAATCCCTCACGTTTCTGATCCGATTTTCATAGCAGTCTGGTTTGCTGAGAATCCCAAAACAGTCAATTAAAGGGTGGAAATGTTATGGAAGGAGAAAACTGACGTTATTGGAAACTTAGAAAAATTGGCGGACTGGAGAAAAATTTTTTAGTGTCGCAGTTCGTAAACAAGAATTTTTCTTCGTTACGCGCACGCAAAAAAAGCTTCGTTCACCCTGCCTGTTCTGGGCACGATAAAGCGTGAAAGCTGACAAGCGTGTAGCACCAAATGCGAATGCTGAAATACAGGACAGGACAGAATGAGTTGCTGAGAGCTGGAAGATAAAGGCACAAAGACATTCGTTATGTAAAATATTAAGAGAAATCAAAATGTATCAAAAAATATTTTACGACTGATTTAAAAATTTCTGCCTTGTCTCGCTCTACTAATATTCTTACCCGATGGTTCTCCAAATCTTATCCAGCGCGAACCATTTAGGGCGAAAAAAGATGACAGCAGGAAAAGGGCAACCAGGATCCTAAGAGCATTTTCTTTCGGGTATGGGAAATCCGCTTTGCTCCGAACCGACGTTAATCTGTTACGTTCATGAAGCCGGTGTGCGATTGGCTTATACGGAAGCCTTTCGATGCTTCCGCTTTCCACAGACAGTTTTTATGCGTTTTGTGCTGTGTAACAGCAGTACAAAATGCATATTGTCACCGGGTTGCTTGTGTGTTTGTGTGTATGTGTGTGTATGTGTATGTATGTATGTGTGTGTATGTGTGTGTGCGTATGTGTGTGTGTGTGTGTATGTATGTATGTGTGTATGTGTGTGTCTCCCACATTTTGTCCCGCACTTTCATCTCGGGACCACAAAAGCTAGGCGGCTGAAATTTTGGTATAGTGTTCCCCGCCAGCGGGTGACGCGGCAAATT